TTTTAGCTTTGAGGTTCGCCCCCACCCTGCTCAACGCCGCCGCCGCCGCTTCACTGGCTGCCTCGCTGCCCGAGAAGTTCCAATCGCAATCGCAGTTCGACATTTTCGCGTTTCGCGTTTAGAGAGAGTTACCAAACGGTGATCGATCCTTTTTGTTTTTTTTGCTCTTGCTTGTATTGTGTTTGCCTCACTCCCATTGGACTTTTTTTTATAGACCAAGATGGTTTATTTATTTATTCTCCACGCGATTATCATGAATGATCAAACACGTGATTAGAGAAAAACAAAAAAAAATCCTTGGATAATAAGAGTATCACACTATTAAATTATTAATATATGGGGAATTGCTCTCATTTTTGTTTGACTTTTTGTTAAATAATTATAAATTTGATATTTTTTTTAACGGCCACAATATTTTAGATACGGTGATAAACTTTTTAATTTCACGTAATAGTTTGTAAACCATGTGAAATAGTTAAATCAGATGGCATGTTCGGTGAGTGGAATTTAAGACGAAACTGGTATCATTATTTATTCTACTGTTCATATGTTTATCATCAATGGTCTAAGACAATGTGACATAAGATCCGAACACTCAGCAAACGAATGAAAAAATGGCACGTGGCCTAAATATTTGGCATCCAAGATAATTTTTTTTTTTACAAAGTTCAAAATATGAAGGCTCTAGTGTCTTTAAGGAGGTTCACGAATGGGAAAGCGCGACGTAGCGGTCCAAATAAACTGTAATGTCATTAAGGTAAAATTTCTAAAAGAAACCCTAAACTTACAAAAATTTTTCATGAATCTGTTGCAATTTTTCACAATAACCTACAGGTTGCAATGTTCTTCCAAATTAATATGTCCATTGATTTGATTCAACCGATAAGGAAAAAAATGGATCTTTGCATTTTTTTTTTTATTCGACCGATAAGATCCGAATCCTCATCAAATGAATGAAAAAACGGCACGTGGTCCTAATATTTCGGATCCAAGGTGTGTGTGTATATATTATAAAGTTCAAAATATAAAGGATGTAGTGTCATAAAGAGGCCCATGTAGCGGTCCAAATAAACTGTACATTATCAAATACGGAGAGATATAAATATATGCATGCATAATATAGGAGAAAGAAAAACAACAATTAGTGCGTAAAAAAAACGGATTCTGCATTTATTGCTTAATACATGCAAACAAAATAAGGGAACGTGCCAAAATAAAAGGCAGATTTACAAAGACCAACCAATTATTGAAATGTAACGAGTCCTAATTTTACATTTTGGACTGTGTTATAATACCAACGAAGCAATTGGGTTAAATGGGTTAACCAATCTAACCCAATAACAAATTTATTTGGATTATTTGTTTGGAATATTTTTAACTAAATGGGCTTAATCCATCCATTAAGATTATCTATTTAATGGCTAAACCTAATAACTCTATTTAATCCAATACAATAAACCTAATATATATTATACATGTAAATTAATCGGATAATTGATCTAATCGGGTTAATTGGGTTTTATGGATTAACCCAACCCGGAATTTTTTTTAACTTATTGTTAATGATTTCATTAATCCAATCCATTAAATTAGGTTGAGCCACCATTTTGACATCTTATATTTTTTACGTTTTAAGGATATGTAGATAGAAAAGGACGAAATTGAGGAAAATTTTTCTTATTCACACTCATACCAACCTTATATTTGTGTTTATATAGAAGAAATTCAACAGAAAATGATTTAATCTAATGTTGCTTAATAACCCGCAAAATTTAAACGATTAACTTTTCATCTTATAAAAAATACAAATTCACCATAACATATCATGGAAATTGAAACCGAACAATCAATAGACCAAACACGTGATCGAACCAAATCGAACAATACACATCAAGGGGAACACCAAATCCTCCTCGGCATGAAATAAACATAAAGCCTGCGCCACTGTAAACAATTACGCGACGGTCGGGGAAACCAGTGATTAATGACAACTTTCGTTTCCTTCGAATTGTGAGTTCGAAAACTCAGGGCATGAGTTTTCTTTGAGTCGGTTAACTCCGGTTGATTTACCTGCTCCGCATAGTTTGCGACTATTGCGTGGAGGTGAGAGTTTATCTAGCCAATATAGCTGAAAGGTAACAGTTAGGTTTTACACGTTGTAAAAAAAAAAATTAAGCGACCATCAAAATTGGTTAACTTTTATACAACCAGCCGAGTTAAAATTACATAAATATCCCTATCAATCTAACGAGTTAAAATTACACATTTCCTCCTCCGAACTCTCTGACTCACCTCGAGGCTTCCAAACCCTCTACTTGAGCTAAAGACTCTTGTGTGTGGGGAAAAATGTTAATGGATCACCATTGAACTTCTTTGAGAAATCGAACCAAACTGATCTACCAATGTCATAAACTTGAATTGATGCGAAACTTCTGGATTTTGGATTTACAAAAAATATATTGTGTATGCATTGCAGACCCGAAAAAAAAATTATCATAGGAGGCAACCATAATTTCATAATGATAAATTTATTTTTTTTTATCGGTGCATATAATAATTTTATCTAAAAATTTATAAAATTTATAACAATGGGGCCTTTGAATCCATTGTTAAAGAGTTGGGTCCGCCCATGTGTGAATGTATGTTAATTTCAAAGTTAAATATTTTTTTTGGTCAAATTGAATTTGCAAAAACCAAACTATACCGAATTGGTTAAAAAAAAAACACTCTTCGAAACTGCAAGAACAATAACGAAACAAATACCAAACACACTAAGTGTGACATTCTTTCTCAAAGGTCATAATTGTAGAAAATGTAAATATATAGGAATATAATAGTCTTTTTACAAAATTACACAGTACCGTAGAGGGATCTATTTACGGGTTTCTATTATTCATGTTACAACTCGACATAAGAAAAAAAAGGCGAATCCTCGTGAACTAAGTATCAGTAAATTACCCCAAATTTCGAATATTTTATAGCACGAATAAGGGCATTATTGTTATTTTAGCGGCTCGTTAGTCGTTACTAGGCCCCACTGAGCCTGCGCCTTTAAAACACTGGTCAACCATTCAGGTCAATCGCATGCCCAAAATTACGATAACTGCCACGCGGTTAAGCCCAAAAGCCGGTTCGAATCCATAACGCTCACATGGTTTCGATACATCGTTCACGTGTCGCTCTCTCATTGGTTAACGTGGGGGAAGCAGGTCGCTATCGTCCCTCCCTCTCTGCTCCCCCCCTCCCTATCTCTCTCTCTCATACTCTGTTTCTCTCTCTATATCTCTGCTTTTTTCGTTCTCTTTCACTCTGCTTCTCGCGTTTTCTCGCATAAACCCTAATTTTCTGCTCTTTCTCTATATTTTCCCGCTGTTTCTTCCATTTTCGCTATCACAAATGCACGATCTCGCGTTTCAGTGTTGTGTTGAAGCCTGACAAAAAAGGCTCTGAGTTTTTCTGTTTCATGATCTAATTGGAAAACAGCGCGCGCGGGGAGTGAGAGAGAGGGGAATGATACAAGCTACGGAGAGCTGCGGCATCGTCAATGGCGGATTCACGCCGTTGTAGAGTTGCTGCGGGG